TGTTCTCAGGAGTTTGTTCAGCATAAAATCAGCTGGCCTGTAATATTTAAACTACTGTATGTCTATTGTTACATTTTATGAACATTTTACACTTGGAAATAGGAGAAATTCTCATTGGCTTCAGTCTCGTTAGAAGATGTTTTAGTGAACTCAAGGATATCAGGCTATGAATTTCTGTAACTTTATTAAAAAAGCAGTCATTTCACCAACTGCCAATTAGGCATTGCTGCAAAATAGGGAGTAACTATTGCGAATTTAAAAATATGTGTTTTTAACAGTCTGAATAAAATGCTCTACTCCTCCCAGTTGCCCTCTTGTCTTCTGTAATAGTATTAATAGTTGTAAAAGGTAGGCAAAATCTAAGGCTATCTTGAAAGTAGTAAGAAAAAAGTATTTGTATACAATCTAGTAGAAAACTTTCATGTCAGGAACAAAAGAATATAAATCTTCTTTCACATCGGTCCTCTCTGTATTTCTTTCAGCACTACTGAGAAAGCTAGAGTCAACACAACATTCTTCACTTCCTCCAGCTTTTCTTTTGGCACACTACATTGTACTTGAGTCTGTTGATCACGCCAGATAACATCACCATCATCACGCTGTGGGTTTGGGAAGAAACAGGAAAATTTTGGAAGAGTAAAGAAGTTCTTGCTGGAGGAAAGTATTGAGATATAGATTCTTTCTCTGACTTTACCTCTTCAACTTACACCTGGCTCAATACAAGTGTTGTAGTATTAAAGTGTTCCACTTGAGGTACTCAGTGACCCTGGATTCTGCTGCATACCTACCCGGAGAGGTAAGCCCATTCGAAACAGGGAGTAAATCTCAACAATACAAGCTAAGGCTTCCATCGCTGAACTCTTATCCAAACATATCTACTTATTCAGGATTATATGTTCTTGATCTTTTCAACAGGTGTTCACTTAAACAAACATCAATGCTTTGAAAAATCCCTTAGCACCAAGAAGATTAAACAAATGATACTGAGGTTTCATTTTTTGTATATATACAATCTTCAGCTATTCATACACTTCCACTTACAGCAATGAATTAGAGGTTCTAAAAGACTGATTAAAGCAGTAACGTGTTCTGTGTTTGAACAAGTAAGATTTAGTGGTAAAAACTGGCAACAGCCCTATAACCTCTGGGGTGTTTCTTACTAAGATGTGTATGTTTGAAAATACTACAAGACAACTTGTTCTTGTATTTTCCAAACATAAAGTAACCTATGAATACCACACTCCTGTAAGCAAAGTTAAAGTGTAAAGAAGAGAAAGTGAGACATACAGACAGTAAGTCAGCGCTTGGGAACCTTAAAGACAGAAGTCACACGCATGGACTATGTTGATACCTAATGAGGGGTTAGAACGTCTCTGCCTCTACATTTGCTATCTGGAGTATTGGTCCCCTGATGGTGGGCAGAGAGCCTGCAGTTCTCCTGGTGGGTGTCTATTCCCTGAATACCAGTGAAGCCTTTGGGATTTTACTTCATAGTGGCACTGAGGAGCAGTTCCACAGGAGAGAGATTCAGAGTCTTTCACTGAGCTGCAGCTTGCTCAGGGCTAACCTCAGGGGGAACCAACAAACCAACCTACACAGCAGCCATGAGGCTCAAAGGTCGCTCTGCTAAAAAGGACTCCTGGGCACATCCCCATCGTTAATAAAGTAGGACCATGGGAAGGTTTGCCTTTCTTGCTAGATCTAGGGTAAAGATTCATAAAGGAATAATCACCCCTAAATGAGAGCAGGGAACCGGGGTTCTGGGGAGTTGCATCTTTTCCCCTATGTTGTGTTGGGAGAAACAAAATGCTGAATAGACTCCAGTTATAAAGTTCAGGGAGCCCCAAAGTGTCTCCAGATCAGAGGAGATACAGGTAGAAAATTTATATGGTAAAATTTGCTAATTTTTCTCACACTTTTTCCTATGAAGTCAATAAGATGGTATGTTTCATCAACTCTATTTCAAAATGTGATGATAAGGAAAAATTGTCAGTCATTTTGGAATAGTAATCCCATGGGATAGGAGCCAAAAGCAGCAGATGGATTTTGGATGGTGCACAACAGGGCTGGCCAAGGACTGGAATTGGGAACCACGGCATTCCTGAAAAGCCAATGTTCCTAGTCCTGGCTCCCACTAACTTCAGAGCTGTGTGGAAGCTAGAAACCCTTGCCTCATATGGAGGCAAGGTAGTATCTTGCCACTGATCAGCAGCAGCTCAAAACCTCTAAGCAGGTCCAACTCCTGTAGAGCTTTTGCTGGCAAATAAACTCTCTTTTGGAAAAGTTAAAATAAAGGTTAGCACACCACCCTGGATGGGTTGCTGACCCCTGATGTTCAGTATTATTCTTACCAGTTTAATCCCTTCTGGGGATGAAACACCGTAACTTATTCAAACCCCTGTGCTCTTTGCACAGCCAGAGGAGATTTAAATATCATTTCAGCAAATTCAAAACTGCATGGATTGATTTTGTACCACAGCTGTAATTTCCTTCTCCCTTTTCAAATGACATGATATTTAACAGGACAGTGTGAAGGTTCAGAAATATTTTCTGTAAATCAGAATAAATTACACAGTGCTAGCAGAACAGCAGAAAGGCACATTTTTGTGGGCTAAATCATTGCAGCTGGGATGTTGCAGAATGCTGAATCTACTTTTTTATCCAGAGAGAGAGGGAGAAAAATCAGCCATAGAGCTCCTGTTTGCTTTCATTGTAACTAGCCATGCTCTTGCCAACTTACTGCAGTGTTCCAATCTCGTTAATACCCACATCCATCACTGGCACCAACAGACTCAGTCATCAGAAATGTTCATTTAGAAGCAGTGATCAAACAAATTAAGACCAAACATGAATCTGACATCTGAATGTTCAATTTCTACCGCAACTTGGAAATGCCAAACATCCCACAGGCCCTTCAGGCTTGAATCAAAGCCTGGTGATGTCAGTTAGAAGTTCAGAAGTCAGGACACGTCTCAAAATATTTCTAAAGGCACACCTCCTCCTCAGCACCTCCTCGTATGGGATAGATACACTCCAGTCCACTAATGGAGTTCTGCCAGATTTAATACTTTCTTGGTATTTTAGCAATGGTGGCTGGTAACTCCAGAAGAGCTGATATGGCTTTAACAGTCAGCATATTTCCCCACAGTATGAGGGGAAAGAAGAAAGAGAATCGCCCTCTCAACAAAAGATTGATTACCTTCCGTTTTTGAGAACCCGTGTTCTCTGAGGGTAATCCTTGACCATGTCCTGCTGATACGTTTTTGCGTTTTTGAGAACCCGTGTTCTCTGAGGGTAATCCTTGACGCTGATCAGGACAGATTCTACCCCCCCCCCCCCCCCCCCAGCCTATATAGTGCAGAGGCTTTTTGGTTGTTGTTGCTTTTTTATATTGTTTTTTTTTTCTTAAATTTAGAGCATTTAAGAACTTATTTAGAGGAACATTTTGAACTTTATCTTTCATCAGAACTTGCTTACTGAAAAGCTGTTTAGAGCAAGAAAAACCTCATAAGAATATGCCTTAACTGCCTCATGGCTTGGCATAGTGATTTTCAATAAAAAGGCATTGCTTCACATGCCTTTGACTTCAAAACTTGTGAAAATTCAGTTTTGTTTCAAAATTTGGGCATTAACAGTTGTGGGGTACACAAGGAATGCATGCGAAACAAGATGAAAGGGAGTTTTATTCCAGTGCTTAATTACATAGAGCTCAGTTTTCACAGGTCACTGTAATAGAAAAACCAAAACTGAAGTCCGTGCTGGAAACAACCAATTCACGGTGCCTCAGAAGTGATACAGCTCTCACATGCATGCTAAATAGTCACTCACTAGACAAATGAGCCACTAGGCTAAAGTAGTGCAGGCAACAGAACCTGAACCAACATCACCCATCTGCTGCTGCAGATATGATCCCTTTTTGTCCGTCTACCAAGGCTCTCCCCTCTGGTATCGTCTCACTTTTTTTTTCAGCTGATCACGTTTTCACCCCGATTTATCTTTTCAAGCCAGGCGGCACTTGCACCTTTCCCACTGTCCACCCGCATCCCTAGCTGTGCCCTGTGCTTCATTTACCACACGCCCCCCATCCCTTAACCGCTGCCTGGGGAGCCCGAGCCGTGCGCTTACCGCGGACGGGGAGAACTGGAGCCGGGCCCTACCATCCCAGGGACTGCCCACGGCTTTAACTGCGCCTGATCCCTTGAGCAGCCTCCCTGCATCCTCAGCGCTACCCTGCACCCGGCCCAACAGGGGCCTGCCCCAATGCGACCACCGGGGCAGTTTCAGGGTGTAACTTCCGACCTTGCAGTGAGCCCAAATAACCACAAGAGACCCCCTTCCAGGTGCGCGAAAGGGCTGTGCAAGCGGCCCGCCTTAAAAAACTCAACCTCAGCGCCCCACGCACACGCGAGTGCGGCCTCGGGGAGAGAGAGGCCACGGCCAAGGGCGAGGCACCTCTCCTCTCCTCCCCTCCGCCCCGCCCGGGCTCCCGCCGGGGGCGGCTGCCGCCCACACCCGCCCTCTGCCTGAGGAGGGCCCGCGCCCCACTGGCGCAAGGCGCCCCAACCCCGCGCGCGCTGTGCGTCACGCGCCCTCGCAAGACTGCAAGTCCCAGCCGCCTGCGCGCGGCCTCCTCCTACTGGCTGGCGCCGGCAGGAAGCGACCTGCGGGGTGAAGGGTGAGGAGCGGGAGGCGAGC